TTTACAAGTGTATGTAAACTTTTCACCACAACTGTATGTATGTATCTATGTGTGTACACACACACACACACACACACACACACACACACACACACACACACACACACACACACACACACACACACACACACACAAACAGCCATTGTTTTTGTTAGAGCCACCCCTAACAATAGGAGATGCCGTATTAAATGTATAAAATGTATATGTATGTATTGAATGTATAAAAACATGTAAAACAGCAGCTGATCTGAAGTGTGTTCAACTCTGTTTCACTTGCTGTAGTTCAGCAGTGTCTATGCGCCGACCCCTCCAAAAAATTAAATAAATAAAGATTCATAGTCACTATCTGTGTTTGTTTTTTGGTTTGGTACAAATTTAATTCACTTTATAATATCTGATATATGTTTTTAGGACTGAGCACTGCACAGAGGTACCATCAGGAAAAATATTATATTTTTGCTTTGACTCCACAGCAAGTTCGAGAAGTATGCATATCAAGGTATGTTCATTTTAAAATTATTTCTCACCTGCTGAGAAACTTGTAATGATCTATTGCCGTCCATTAAAGTCATATAAAAGAGCCGTATGACATGTTATTCTGTTAGTCATATTTGTTAAATTCTGTTAGTCATGTGATCTATGACGTTTTTTGAGCCTATGATAATTGTCTAACAGACTTTATTGAATCACATATCAGATTAAGTGATTAACGTGTGCTTTGTTAAAGTCTGTTAGTCACATGATTGATTTACATATATTATACCTCATCTTTACAGAGACTACCTACCAGGTGGCAGAAGGGACTATATGGTTCAAATTCAACTGAGGTGAGAATTTGTCACATATGAACTATGGAATAGTAACATAAAAGTAAATCCATCCATGGCAGTGCACAACTGCTCTTCTTCTGAATAAATGAAAACTATGTAACACAGTTGTTTACACTTAAATTAAAAATATTTGACCAAAGGAAAACCAGAGCAGGACTAGAGAGAGATGAATATGATTCAGATTTTCATTTCTATGTCTGTATACGACCCACAGGAGACACAACGTTAACAGCAGTCGTCATTTCATTCCTCGGCTTTAGCAGCTCCTTTAATTCCACAGCTGACACTGCTAAAAATGTTATTTTCTTAAGGGGATAGGGATGTTTGTGAAGCCTTTGAACACCAGTTCAAAAGAACGGTGTACTTCAATCCAGGGAATAGGACTCTGGAATGGTCTGGAGGAAGATGTTAAAAATGCCAGATCTATGTATATATTTAAGAGAATGATAAAACTTAGTTTTCTGAAGAAATATGGAAAATCATAATTGCGAATGTATACGAATTGTTGTTTGAGTTGATGTTTTAATTTAGATTTGTGTTTTTGTGTGTAAATCACTTCTGTTTCAATTCAATTTTTTCAGTTTAAAATTTTTATTCATTTCATTAAAAACAAAATAACTATATACAATAGAAACTAAGAAAATACACAAATCAAAAAATCAAAATAAAATGAAAGGTAGCAGAAGAAGAATAAATATAATGTCTGCCCCTTTTATCTTATTTTTTATTTTTAACTTATTTAGGGGTCAAACGGGGCAGATATAAGATTTATTCTTCTTCTGATGCCTTTCATTTTATTTTGATTTTTGATTGTATGTTTTTGTTGTACATAGTTGTTTCGTTTTTAAAATGAATAAAAAATGACAGATTTTCTTTTCTGGATCTCTGAGAGCAGGACTTCAATCTCTGAACTCGTAAAGTTCTTCTTTTTATTTTGTGATGTCATTTATGACTGGACACTTCCTGGTATGTGGGGCAGGAAACCTAGCCTTACATGGAGTTTTTAGGGTGGTGTTTATGCTAAAATCCTCTTCTCATGTGTGAGCACCTAATACACATTCATCAGGTTACACTGCTATTTTACACACTTTTCCTGAAGATAGAAGASTTTGTTGAATCTGACGTGACACGACGAACCCTTCGTATGAACAAAAGTAAGAGAAATTTAGGATAAGAATACGAACATGTTCTTGCATGAGGCCCAATCATTTTAGGTTATTTGACCACTCTAAATTGTTACTAGGTGTGAGTGAGAATGTCAGTGATTGTCTGTCATTCATCTTTATGTGAGCCTGTGACTTGAGACTTGTCCAGGGTGGACCCTGCTTATCACTGCTGTAGATAGGCACCAGCTACCCTGTGGCCCTGAACACAGAAAATAAGGTAAACAGGATGGCTGGATGGATTTAATATTATGTTAATATTCCATTGTTCATTTCAAGCTCAGGTCTTGTACCAGAGGCCTGAGAGTTTTAGGGTTTTGCTCAGTATTTTAGCTGTTCTTCTAGACAGATCTCTTGAGGTTATTCCTGAGATCTCTTCCACTTAGGGGGTCATAGCACTAAGTGCTCTGATGACAGCACTGGCACCACTGAGACCTTGACACTCAACAACTTACCTTTTTTTGTCTTTTAACCACTGGGTTTCTGAAGATTCTTGTGCTCCTGTCTATCACCACTGCAAACTATCTCTGTTTGCAGAGGTACTGTTTGTGAATTCTGATTTGTATTGACACGCAATATTTCCACATATTTTTAAAGACCAATGATTTGTTAAAACGTGAACATTCGACACAGTGCTGTAAACTGAATCTGTTAAAGGTTTCTTGTGTTTTCAGATTCTGTTTGTCAGAAACAAGTTGTCCTCAGGAGGATAATTACCCCAACAGTCTGTGTATAAAGGTCAATGGGAAACAGTTTCCTTTACCTGTAAGGGCTTTTTTTTTACATTTGAACTGAAGACTAAATCCAACACATCTGAAGTGATACTATAACAAATCACCAATTATCTTCTGCCTGCAGGGTTATGCACCACCACCAAAAAATGGTATGGAACAGAAGAGACAAGGAAGACCTCTGAACATCACACCCCTCGTCAGACTGTCATCGGCTGTACCCAATCAGATTTCAGTCACATGGGCACCTGAGGTTGGAAAGGTGAGTGCAGTTGAAGATCTGATCATTGTGATAATGGCTCACCTGTTTTGGTTTTATTCCACGTACTCAGTTTCTTTTTATGGTTTGCAGACCTCTAAGAAAAGTTTATAAATGACATCAGTCAGAAAGATTACATGTTTGTACACTGTGGTCATAAAGCGATGGACATGGTCAGCAACAACACTCAGGTTGGCTGTGGTGTTGACATGATGCTCAGTTAGTACTAATGAGCCCAAAGTGTGTCAGGAAAATAACCCCCACACCAYTGCACCACCACCACCAGCCTGAACCGTTGATACAAGGCAGGATGGATCCATGCTGTCATGTTGTTGATGCCTAATTCTGGCCCTACCATCYGAATGGTGCAGCAGAAATCCAGACTCATCAGACCAGGCAACRTTTTTCAATCTTCTGTTGTCCAGTTTTGGTGAGCCTGTGTGAATTGTAGCCTCAGTTTTCTGTTCTTAGCTGACAGGAGTGACACCTGGTGTGGTCTTCTGCTGCTGTAGCCCATCCTCCTCAAGGTTTGATGTGTTGTGAGTTCAGAGATGCTCTTCTGCAGACCTTGGTTGTAACGAGTGGTTATTTGAGTTACTGTTGCCATTCTATCAGCTCCAACCAGTCTGGTCATTCTCCTCCTACATCTGGCATCAACAAGGCGTACCGCTCACTGGATATTTTCTCTTTTTCAGACCATTCTCTGTAAACCCTACTTTGACTATTGTAATGTCTTGATTAAAATAGCTTTAGGTACATGCCCAAATCATCATGACAACACATAGAAAAACCGTCATAAATTCATTAGGAAAGATATTTTCTGTACGAGTTGGCTGCGATTCAGCTGTAGGCCTGTAGTGGGCGTACCAGGCACTGAAGATCCCTGTATAAAAAGACCGGAACTTCCGGTCTCAGGCAGCGCTGCTGAGATTGCTTCAGCGTAAGCAATAAAAGCTTCGCTCGTAACCAGATCTGGGTTGTATGGTTCCATTCACTTCACATTTTAATCTATTCAATATTTATGTGGTTTTGTCACAATTTCAGTTAACGAACACGAAATACTCTTACAGTCCCATTACTTAAAAAGTTAGAGGCACATATACAAGCTGTTGTAATTTGTACACACTTCACCTGACTGATGTAAACACCTTTAAAATAAGCACATTTTGTTTGTTTTATTTCAAACCCATTGTGGTGGTGTTTACAGTCAAAAAGATAATTGTCTTGATTTTCTAATTTTCATGGATCTGATTAATATTTTTACACAAGGTAACTGATTTAGAGTCAAACATATGCTAGTGCAATTGTCAACTGTTAATCATCATATTTAATGTTATCGACTGAATGCCATAAATAAGTATAATTAATTTTTTTGCCAATRTTACCCAAGCTTAGAGCAAACTATTTTCAGTGAAATGACACGCAGAAGAAAGCAGCACGCACTGGTTCGTATAAAGAAACCTGCAGAGAAAGTTCTGGCCAATCACATAATGCATGCTATGTAGCCCGCAAGACCGTAATGACTGGGGTCCTTGTACAAGACAGGGTGTCAGCAGATGGTAACTGATGGAAGCTATGTAATTTTTGTCATGCAACAGAGTCAGTGAGACATGAAAATGGAAGTATAAATCCATTTTAGACTGGAGTAAATAGCTGTACCTGTTGGGTGGACAGGAGTAAATAACTATGTATGGGTTAGACCAGGGGTCTAACAAAACCTTTCATTTTCCTTAAGAGCTACTTTCACAAAAAGAAATTGTCCAAAAGCAACCTTTTGCAACATTTAATTTTAAACTTAAATCAGTGAAATAGCTTGTTTTGCACAAAAACATGTAGACTCCAGCAGGAAGAAACCCCCTGTAGTGGCGTATACCGCAGCAGGAGGGGTTTCTCAGGAGCTCTGCACAGTGTGTCTCAATGGGCCTTTGAAAGGTGTGTGCGAAAACGAACACTGAACAACCATGTAACTGTGCGTGGTCTGCCGAACGACCATACTGAGCCCTAAACTGTTTGATTGACAACCAAGGGGGAGGGATATCTATAGATTGATTGGAGTTAAATGAAAGGTTGTTCGGCCAGTGAAAATTTAAATTTTGTTTTTCCTAATTTTTCACAAGCACTTAAGAGCTACTAAATATCTATGTCTGTTGGATAACCTGGAATACACGATTGATCTGCTGGTTAGACTGGAGTCAATGAGCACATGTAAAACACGTCATCATTACAGTCAGGCCACTTTCAGACTTTGTCCATGTAACAACACAGACCTGGTTCATTTGAGGAAACAGTAAAAATCTAAACATTTCTGATGTACACAAATTGCGGGAAAACCATGAGTTGCTTTTAAATATTTAAAGGGGCAACGTTATGTTTTTCTCAGGCATATGTTTAAATACTATACCATAATAAAGTATCTATGTCACCTTTAGTTGTTATTAAAATGCTTTTTA